GCAAAGAAAGCTATCTGTGGAAAAATAAATGGTCGGGTTTGGTTTTTGCTTTTGTTTTTGTTTTGAGAGATGGGATTATTCGTCTACTAAAAAGCCACTTAATAACTTTCTCCATGAAATTATTTCATAATCAAAATTCTCAGAGGTTATTGGAGTAAATAGGACTATGCCCATTCAAAGGTGAAAAAATGGAAACCCAGAGAGAGAAAATGACTTTCCCATGTTCTGCGAGCAAAACAGACTTGGAATCAAAATTGAATCCCCATCTCCTGACCCAGTTTTGTCACAATCATGATACTTATCACAGTATCATCTTGAACTTTACCCATGGTGATAAGGCTCCTGGTTTCTCACCTCTCTCATAGATGGTTCTAACACTAGGAAATGACTTTTTTATGTTTCTTGTTTAAAAATAAGTATTTATTGTGGAGATTATTAGAATCACCTATAATCTCACCGATTAGCTTTGGTTGTATATACAGGGGGTTTACATCAAAATTTTAATATCATGCTAGCTAATTCAACTACCAGGGCTGAGAAAAACAAATAAATAATAAAAGGGAAAAAATCTTAAGTATTTATCCAGAAAGCCTTCTCCTATTCAGTCTAGGACATACACACACCTGTCCACTCACACACGTACCATTTCTCTTCCTTTTCCTTGCTTTCTTTTTCTGCTTAGCAGTTATTACAGTCTAGTATAATATATATTATATTTATCTGCCTTGCTTTGTGACCATGTGCCCTGCTAGGATATAGGCTCCACAGATCAGGGGGATTTTTGGTCTATTTTGGTCATGGCTGTATCCCCTATACCCAGAAAAGTACTAGCAGGTTCTTTGTAAACATTTGTAGATTTTCATGAAGGAATGAATGAATGAGCGAGTGGTAAAGGTAAGTTACCCTTTATAAACTAGAGTTACTAAAGGGTAACTTACATGCTGACCTTCCATCTAATCCCTGTAAGATACTAACCACATTTCCTTCCATTCTGTATTCTCTCTCTCTCTCTGTCTCTCTCTAATTTTTTTACATGACTCTGGTCAGACTGTGTATATATTTTGTATCTAACTTCTCTTACCTAATTTTATACATATATATTATATATATATAATATATATTTTATATAAATATAAAATACCTTGTCTTTTTCTGTCCTGAAATACTACTTGAATAAAAGAAAATGTTGAAATGATAACTGATAATTGAAAATTCATAGACCCACCCAGATAGAACTATTACATTTAGTATCTTGCCTTTTAGCTCATCATTTTCAGAGTGTAAGTTTTAAATGACTATGATCATGCTATAGATACAATGTTTCATGGCTTTTAACAGACTTGGAATTACATTGCAAAAACAATTTAGTGAGGTAGATCAAAATTTTCTTAATTGTTTCCCTATTTCTGTATATACAGTTTATTGTCAGTCTCTTTCTTTTATCGTGTTGCAACTTTTTTTTTTTTTTTTTTTTTTTGGTAGAAAGCTTTTTCCAAACTGGTGATGAAGGAAATGACTTTTGAATGGCCCCCGTGCTACCCCTTAGCGTCCTGCCATTACCCTCTCCATTCCCTCACCCCACTGGTGATGTAATTTATGACTCTGGCTTCTTATTTGTTTGAAGCCAATCCCTTAAGGGGTGACCTCCCAGTGTCTTCAATTATTATTTTAAATGATGCCTTAGGCCCTGCCTGGCACAGTGATGCCCTCACCTTCCCTCCTTCTGCTTTCCAAGCATGGAGCTCAGCTGCCAAACTAGCTGTGCCCCCTCCTGTCCTCAGAGCTGCCTCCAGAGTCCCGACAGAGAAGCAGATTAACCCCTTTTGTTAGCAGAGGTAATTTGTCTGGGCTCAGCATTAATAAGGAATGCCATAAGCAGTTGGGGTCAGGAAGAACAGATCTGTCAAGCCCCAGGGTTAATTTAATAGCAATCTGTTGGCTCTATGCCTTGGATATTAGCCGTGAATCCAGTGCTATGTTTTGCTTTTGCCATTTAGTTCTCTGGGACAACAGGGAAATAATTTGAATAGAGAGCTCTAAAGCATAGGGAAGAGAAAATTGACTGTCAAAATGCGTCATTCTGTTTTCAAGATAATACAGGAAGCCACGCACTGCTTATCTCTTTTCTCTTTCCCTCCCAACCTGAAGGGCAAAACCACATATGCTGAGGGTGTGCATCTCCTTTTAGAACAGAGTAAGAGGAAAGGCCTGGGTTTCTGGATGATGCAGATATGAAATACCCTGTCCCATCATCCCTATCAGCCACTGAATTTTTGGTAACTAGTCCCCGCCCACATGTTTTTAGAACTCAGCAAATCCTCCATCAGTGAACAGTTCAAGAAATCCCATATGTTTCTGTCCCAGTCTGTGGTTCAAAAAAAGAAAAAAATAATTATCACATCATAGGACACAGGAATCCCAAGTCAGATGCTGTGTCCAAATTCTGATTCTGAAAAATGTGGCCACCAAAGTGGTCAGTGAATTAGAATAACACAGGCTGCCCTCTGGGATTAGCCAGAGGGAGTTTCAAGAGAGCCGGAATTACTGTGGTGGGAATGGCTATTTCTGGAAGGGCCCTTCCTCAGGGGAGGGAGAGTAGCCTGTGGTCAAGAACCCAGGCTCCGAAGTCAGATAGACTGGGTTTGAATCCCAGCTCCACCCCCTGCTAGTCCTGTGACCTTGGTTACTTCACCTCAGCTACTGCTTCTTCCACTGGAGAACAGGCCTGTTAATAGTACTGACCTCATAAGGCTGAGAAGAAGGTCACATGAGACAGTGCATGGCATTCGGTAAACATTCACTGTTGGTTATTATCCTCTTGCTGTCCTTGTCATTGCAGTTATTAAAGAGAGGATTCGAGTCATCTCTGAACCCCGTAGAGTCAGACATTCTAGTCCAAAGGGTGATGCTTGGGGATGAGGGATGATGGGGAGGCTTAGAAGTCCAGCTTGAGTGGAAGGGAGGAAGCGAGGGAGTGCGGGAAGGAGGGAGCATGGATCCAGAGGAAGCAGCCCTCAGCACAGTCCATGCGCACATCCCCGTGATGCCCTTCTGGATGCTGGGGGATGTTCCTTCCTGCTTTCATAGATATCTTTAAGCACTTCATTTTCACACGTTCTGACTTTGGGGCTTTATTTTTAGGTAAGAAAGAAATAACAGTAGACGCGGCACCTCCCCCTCCCACACAGCAAAGATCCCTTCCAGTTAAGCTTGTTTTTAGAGCTCTGCTGGTAGAGGTTGAGAAAGCTGACACCAGATTTTCTTGCCCTATTTTTAGGAAAAGAGAAACATGCTCCCTGGCACGGTAGGCTATGGAGGTTCTTTCCGGAGGGCGATGAGATCTGACAGCAACTACACACTAAGCTCTGCTCACCCCATCCCGCGCCATGGCCACCAAGCCCAGGGCAGGGGCAGGGGGCAGGAGACAGGAGAGAACATCGGAGATGCAGCCTGGGGCCTCCTGGGGGGCACAGCCTCCCACTGCCCAGCGGGTGGTGCTAACTGCACTCATATTTATAACTCTGGCAGCAGTTGAGTTGAAAGGTAGTATTTTGTGAATCCAGGGGACCCACATGCTCTGGAGACCCAAGTAATATTTGCATCTGGGTTGGGTGGGGGAAATTGTAGTAAAATGTAGTGTTAGTTGAGTCTCAAACTAATTTTAGAAAGCCTCGACGGGGCTTGTAAGAGATAATTGAAGGGGAAAGAGGCACAACCAAGTACGGAGCCATTACTGGGCCAGATTGCATGCTGGAACACAGGTGATGTGCGAGAACGGATATGTTGGCGCTGCTGTGACTAAAAATACAAGCGCGTTTAGTTGTACCTCAGGTGTACTCTAAGGAGGGGACTGTGCTACTGACTTTATGAAAAGCAGAAACGGTTCTCCTCCATCCCAGCCTAATAGCAGTCTGTGTCACGTTACTTCTTGTTGAAGCGATGCGCTGTTTCCCAAAACAGGATAGACCAGCTCCTGGCACAGACATAAACATTTTTATTTTAATTGATATGCATTTATTTCACGTATAGTATTTAAAATGAAACTAGCTCCTTAAACTCATGACTTTATGAATACTGGCTTACAGCTTAGACAAGGCTAAGGAAACAAAGGGAGTCGATAGAAGCCAATCAGAAGGACACATGGTAAGCAGAGACCAGCTGGTGATGTCCGCATGGGGCGCAGTCACAAAGGTGGCTCGAGAGTGGTGGAGTCTAGGAAAAGTGGGAATCGCTTTGGTCAGCTTTCCCATGTGACAGTGTCCATGTCACGAGGCCTGTTCCTTTGCAGGAAGTTTCAGGTCCTCAGACAGCACCTCAGCCTCAGCCAGGTGCCCCCCCAACCTGCACACAGGTCCCCCGAGCTCCGGGGTGGCACAGACCCATTCCCTCCCACATGCCAGACGTCCTCCTGAAGGTCCTTGTGCTCACTGGGGCACCTCCATAATTCAAAGGCCCAGTGTTTCATTTCAATATACAAGGTTGTGGTTTTGAAAAATAGAGTTATAATAATTCTTGACCAGGAAGGAAAATACTGAGAAAGAAAAAAACAGATGATAAAACAAAGGTATATTCCGTGGGAGGCTGAAACTCCCGCCATACACTGGAGGGCTTTTTTTTTCAGGTGCTTAAACTCCCAGCCAAGCTCTAAGGCAAATCACAGCTTATGGAGGCTTGAGGTCCTGTGTATCTTCGGTGAGAGAAATTTTGCATAATTACTCAAGAGCGCAAGTTTTGCACCTGGGAGGAAATCCTGGTGCCGCCCCTCTAGCCATGGGACACGGGCCAGGCTCCCCTCTCCACCCCTGACAAACGGGGATAAGGAAAGGACTGGCTCTAGAGCTGTTCTAAGGATTAACTGAACTCACTGTGCTCACTAAATAGTAGAAGCAGCCACCACTATTCTCACCGGTGTGTTGTTAAAGAAGATCTCAGGGATTTCATGGGAGAGGATTCCCAGTCTACCCTGGATATCATTTATCAGCCCAGGAGTCTGGGGAAAGATGCAGGTAAACTGAATCATTTAGCTGGAATGGGGCTAGCTTCTTCACCACTGTTGTCCAGTGAGAAATAAAGTCTTTGCAGCTCAGCACATTCTAGTATGATAGCAAGGGCAGATAAGTCTGATGGTCCATGGGACATGTTCTCCGTGTTGTGGAGGACAAAATGCTCCTAAGGGGCCAGGAGGCCTGAGTTCTAACAATGCCTCGGAGCCCTGGGCATCCCTGGGCCTCCGCCGCCAAGACCAGTAAGCCCTGCCTGTGTGCTCACGGGGTTACTCTGAGGATTCCCCGAGTGTGGTAAATGCTCACAGGTTACACTAGTTCCAGGCAGTACTGCTGCTCATCACCCCTGGGGTCCTGCGCGCTCGTGCCGGTCCGTCCTTGACCCGCCTGTGCCAGATATCGTCGACATTAAGCCGGCCAACATGGAGGAGCTCACGGAGGTGATCACAGCGGCCGAGTTCCACCCGCATCACTGCAACAGCTTCGTGTACAGCAGCAGCAAAGGGACGATCCGGCTGTGCGACATGAGGGCGTCGGCCTTGTGTGACAGGCACAGCAAATGTGAGTAGCCAGCCGCGCACCGTGGATGGGGTGCCCGCGGCGGGCGGGCCCCGGGCCCCAGACCTGCGGGAGGGGGAGGGGAGAGCCTAGAGGACTCGGGGGCCCCTCCCCATTTGACACGCCCTGGCAGCCAAGTTCAGGTGTTGGCTGGACTCAGGAGTCCGCTCCACATCTGGTGTTTTGGTACGCATGAACCTTCGAGTTCCATTCCACGAATGTCTGCTTAAGGCTGTGGAATCCAGAGGTGAATGAGACGCGAGCCGGGTCACCACACCTTGTGACCCAATGCAAAGTATGTTTTAACATCACCCTGGCTACTGTGGGGAGAATGAGCCTGAGGAGTTCCCTGAAGGGAGACCAGTTTGGGGATCACAGTGATGAGCGTCAGGGGGTCAGGGGGATGAGCGTGGCCTGGACAGGGGCGCCGCCATGCAGGTGGAGATGGGCTGGTGGCTTCTGGACAGATCTTGGCGGTTAACGGGGCCTCCTGGACTGTGTGAGAGGCTGAGAGTATGCAGGCAATCACGAATGGCAGCTGGGGATGGTGACTAGGTTAATCATACTCCACTGCATATTTAAAAGTTGCTATGAGAGTAGATCTTAAAAGTTCTCTTTGCCAGAAAAAGAATTTGTAACTCTCTGCGGTGATGAATGTTAACTAGGCTTACTGGTGATTATTTTGCGATGTAAATATACATCAAATCATTATGTCGTATACCTGAAACTAATATAAGTGTCATGTTTCGATTACATATCAATTAAAAAAAAAAAAAAAACCTGCGGGAAGGGGTTAGCGCCTTCCTGGAGAGGGTATGGCTTTGGGAACCAGAACTCTGGAAGTCCCAGTGGCCCTAGTGGGCACCAGGGAAAAGCTTCAGAGTAAGGGGATGGTTTAGATAAGGAGCTGCCAGACTCAGGCCATGGTCATGCTGATTTTCAAGGCATTGATGGAGAGAAGTAGCTCCCAACTAGTGGGGACTGAATGATTAGAAGCCAAAGGCTGTAAGACCCCTGTGAGCAAGTGAAGCCTGCTGGCACCGACAGTGAGTGCTGTGGTGGACCGGATGGGCCTGGAACTTTCTAGAAAAGAAACTGCTCCCAGAGAAGAAGTGCCTGAAGGCAGTGATAATCCATGTCTAGTGTCAGGCTAAGTAACATGCAGCTGCCAAGATGTTTAGGGGGGGCCAGAGCTCTTTTTATCCCCCATCACCTTCTGCTCGGTGCTTTTTAGCCCATACAGTTGGCTGTGAGACCCAGAAATTAAGACTTTGTCTCCCATAGTCTGTTTCCAATTTCAATCCCTGTCTGACATGACTGATAGGATGACTGTGTCGGTGTATGGCCAGGAAAGGGGTGAATGTCTGCATCATTTTGATCATTTTTGCTTGCTCTTTCGGCATGAAAAGTATCGCACAAGGGAGCTGGTGTGTAGAGTGTGGTGGTGTGTAGACAGACTGTGGGTTCTGGAGCCGCGCAGACCCAGGTCAGGGCCAGGCTTCACCCCTTCTCAGCTGCCTGACTTCGCCCAACTATCCCTAACCTTTCTGAGCCTCTTTTCTCATGTGCAAAATGGGTGAAACAGTAACTTCCATCGCATGAGTTTGTTATGGGGCCTAGGTGAAAGAACTATTAACAATTGTGTATTCTATGCTTATAGCGGATTTCAATTCAGATTATCTACACTTCACATGCTCAGTAGCCACATGTGGCTCATAGCTATCATATCAGTACCGATTTAGGACATTTCCATCATGGCAGGAAGTTCTATTGGAGAGTGCCTATCTAGACTTTTAGCTCTTTGGACCTATTCTGTCTTGTTCATAGCTGTTTCCCCAGCACCTAAACCAGGGACTTGATAGATGATTAATAAACATTTGCTCCTGTGGGTGTTGGCACTGATCTTTGAACAGTACTTAACTTACATAAGCCGGCAAGAGGAAACATGTTCAAGGCAGAAGGATCAGCATGTGCAAAGGCGCTGGGGTACGAAAGATCATAACGCATGCCAAACTGCAGGGTGAGTGATAAGGCTGGTACATAGGGAATGACTTGGAGAAGGAAGTGAGTTGAAGCTCAGGAGGGATGCCGGAGCCCGATCATATGGCCATCATGAAGAACTTGAACGTTTTCTCGAAGTCGGTGAACAGCCACGGACGTAACCAGGGGAGTGATGTGATCAGGATTTCTCCCCGTCAGAGGTTGGGTTCTAAGTGGGAGAAAAAAGAGACAAGGAAACAAGTTAGGAAGATATTCTAATGTAGGCAGGGGTTTCTAACAGCAGCAGTATTGAATTTGGGGCACATAGTTCTTAGGGGAAGGGTGCTGTCCTATGTACTGTAGGATGTTTAGCGGCATCCCTGGACTCTCCCCACTGGTTGTAAGTGGCCAAAGCAAGCTGGGACAACCAAAACTATCTCCTGATGTGCAATACTGCGGGTTGGGGAGGAGAAAATTGCTCCTGGTTGAGAACTACATATCTAGACTAAAATTCCTTGTTAGTCCTTCAGCATGATTTTCTTGTATCTGTGATGTGTCTTTTACTAATGAGAACTCTGAGGGGTCCATTGCAAAGGGAAGTCATCTCCTACATTGGATGCATTTAAAATTTGGTTCATGACCTAAGATATACCCAGGGAACATTTCAGGAACGGTGTGTAAGGCAGTGTGTTAACACCCAAATGAGTGGTGGAGATGGGTTTGGGAGGTTCAGGGGAGGGTGGGACATTTGGGATAGACATCACGGGGAAAGCAGAGGCTGAGTAGTCCTGTTGAACACACGTAGGATCTGGTTAGGTGGGAAAGAGGTGGGGGAGGTTGTGTTCTGGGCAGTGCACACAGAATGGGCAAAAGCCTGAAGCTAGGAAGTTACATAGAACCTTCAAAGAATCAGGCTTGGGGAAACAAATATCAAAGAAAGAGGTGAAAGAGGGATGATGGTTCGTATCAAGTTGGTCCTTGAAGATCAAAGTCAAACGTGTATGCCTTCATGTATTCATTCATTCATTCATGCATTTGTTCGTTCATTCATTGAGTACCGACTCCATACTCAGAGTCTGGCTCCTGTGGTAGCCAATACTTCTTAAGCTTTCCCCCCGAGTACATACAGCGCGCAGGTCAGGCCGGGAGCCTGGCTGCAGCGGAAGAAGGGCATCCAGCAGCAGTCCAACCTCGCCCACCCACACAGACAGAACAGCAGAGGCCAGAGATCCTGGGCGAAGTGCCAACCAACCACAGATTTTCTTTGAAGTCTTATTTTTCTATCCTGAAATTTCACGTGAATTTGCATTGTACTCCCATAAAATGTCTATTTTAGGTTTAATAATTACATTTCTACCCCACTCCCAGATTTCAAGCAAAATTGATGTTCCCAAAAGATTCAGTGTATATCCCATGGTTTTCTGTACTGCCTGGTGCATCCCCATATCTTCAGATATGTACATGTGGCCCAGTTTGAGAAACACAGTCCCTAGTATGTGGAGAGTGATTTGAGATCATTTGGCTGAAGAACAGAAAGATAGAATTTATGTTTTATGGAAGATGAACACGGTGGTGGTGGGAAGAAAGGAGAATTAGAACATTTTGCTTTCATCTCAATACAAAGGAAATTCATAGCCTACGTAAGGATGTGGCTATGGAGATCAGAAGGAAGAGAAGTGGAAAAGGAACATTTGTTAAAAAATAACCATGGGTGACGACGTAAGCAGTATCAAAGGTTGGCATTCATCGCACATGGATACTAGTTGTTCATTGTCCTTCCCCTCTAGACCACAAACCCTCTGAGGATAAGAACTAAATCTGTTTACTCGCATCACATTGCCAACTCCTGGCACATAAGTAGGTACTCAGTAAATACTTCTTCAATAAATGCATTAATGCTTGAGGGTTGACATAAATGGTGTGTGGAACAGGGACTGGTGAGAAGCCACACTGGGGCAGAGTAGAGGGTTGGGATTCAGTGGGGGACACGCTCTGTGTGGGGTGACATGAGCTACCTCAGGGGGCAGGCCTCTCTGGTGAGTGAAGGCAGAACCGGCCGGTAGGGCCGCTGACCCACAGTGGATGTGAGAGATGGCAGGAGGGGCCCCAGTGTCCTCACAGCCCAGTGTGGCTGACACGAACCTGGGCTTTGGAGTCAGACCCGGATATTGAGGAATACACTCACTTTGAGGTTTGATGACCCCTGAACCCTGAAGGGTGGGAAAAGGACAAGGCCTTAGAAACTCCCAGAGCTATAAATGTTTCAAGCAGAAGCTTTGGAATCAGAGCTCCACTCCGACATTCAATTACTATGTGACCTCAGGCAAGTTATTTAATCCTTCTGAGCCCCACGTTCCTCATTTGAAAGTAGAAAGCATGAGGACGGCCTCATCAGGCTGCTTGTTCACGAGAAGTAAATGTCATCATGTGTGTAAGAACGTGGCGTCTGCTGGGCATGCAGGAGGCAGTAAGGGGCACAGACGACCTGACTCCCCCATTCCAGGCCTGCAGCTGGGCCACAGGGCTAAAGCCTCAAACCTTTTTCCAGATATATGAAGCCCTGTTAGTCATTTGTTTAAGTAGTTTTTGTTGAGCACATACTATATACACCAGGTATTTTACCAGACTGGAGACACAATGGTGAGTGAAGCCATGCCTGGTTTCCTCCCTCTTAGAGCTTCCTGTCTTTGTTAGTGAGGGTTCTGCAGACAAACAGAACCAATAGGAGGTAGATAATAGGTAGGTAGTAGGTAGGTAGGTAGGTAGGTAGATAGATAGATAAGATAGATAAGATAGGTAGATAGATATCTCGTATATACGTATATGTGTATGCGTATGAGAGATTTATCAGAAGTATTTGGCTTATGGGGGCGGGGGGCGCCTGGGTGGCTCAGTCGGTTAAGCGTCTGCCTTCGGCTCAGGTCATGATCCCAGGGTCCTGGGATCGAGCCCTGCATCGGGCTCCCTGCTCAGC